ATTTTTCTTCCAACATTCCTGCCCCAGGGATACAATCATAAACTCTTTGTCATACACAGGTTGCAAAATACATTGTGTCATCTAGCACCTGGTTTTCTTGTATGAGTAAAGCAAGGCTTTTTTAGTAATCAACTGACAGATCCCAACCCCCCCAGACTGACACCTCCACCTGCAACCAAATTATCTTTTCTAACAGTTTGCATTAAAAACTGGGGTTTAGTTAGCACACATTTGCAAATACATGCGTAAGCTGCAGAGCCTCTTCACAGCACCCCAATATTCTGCAGTTCCTAACTCTATAAATTTTGAGAGCCTCCATTGTAAAAGCACATGTATCATAATGGATAGACCAAGGGCAGGTGAACCTGAGGGAACTCACCCCTCCTTAAAGTCACAGGGGTGCACTGGACACCCAGCATATAGCACAATGGCAGCCAAGGAGCCCCTCACCAATATGTCAACAGTACAAACAAATGGCCATTGCCCCAATCTGGTCGGTAAGTTGAGCTGGGAATTTGTCTCTTTTATCTTTTAACATGTGTCGCCCTTCCATGTGCTCCTTGCTGTGAAGTCCAATTATAGATTGGGGTAGTGGCCATTTGTTTGTACGATTCTTATATTGGTGAAGGGGTACACTGGACACCTTGGCTGTCATAGTGCTAATGGCTGAGTGTCCAGTGCGCCCCTGTGCCTTTAAGGAGGGGTTGGCTCCCTCAGGCTCACCTGCCCTCAGTCTATCTATTATGATAGGTGTGCTTCTACAATGTAGGCTATCAAAATGTATTGAGTTAAGAACTACAGAATATTTGGGTGCCGTGAAGAGGCTCTGCAGCTTACGCATGTATTTGCAAATGTTTGCAAACTAAACCCATGTATTTAATGCAAACTGTTAGACAGGACAATTCAGTTGGCTGCAGGCTGGTCGGTAAGTTGAGCAGGGAATTTTTTTTTATTGTTCCACCCCCCAACTGCTGATACTCCAGGCTGACACTCCCCACCCCCAACTACTGATACACCAGGCTGACACTCCCCAAACTGACACCTCCTCCCACAACTAATGACACCCCAGAATGACACCTCTCTTTTCCAACTACTCACCTCCCCCAGACTGACACCCCTAACCCCATCTACTGACTCTCTCCCGCTCTGGCAGACCTCAGACTGACACCTCCACCCACAATTACTGACAATCCCCAGACTGACACACCTCACCCCCTAGCTATTGATCTCCACCCACCACTGAAAATACCCCACCCCCCCAGACTGAAACCCCCTCTACTGAACCCTGCCCCCCCTACTGACAGACCCTCACCCCCCTACACTGACACCCCCCATCCCAACTACTGACCTCTGCTGAAAACTAAATCAGAGTAACTGTGAGTCAACAACTTGTTCCGGCATTGAGCTCTGGAACCCAGCTTGGATTCCCGGACTTGTTTGGAATCTGAGGATGGTCCACAGGATCTGAGATGGTTGGGAGGTATGCCTAAGAGTAATACAAAAAGGTAGGCAGATACCTGATTGAAAAAATTACTTTTGTACTTTGTGAGGGATAAATCTTAAGCTCGCCATATAATATAGAATCTGATTGCACAATCTTGTCTAGGTCTGTCTACTGCCATCTACTATGTAGTGCCAGATACACATACAGGGAAAGGGTTCCATTGCAGAGCAAACTGCCTTTATCACTAAACACACCACAGGCATGGTATAATGTACTCTGTACACAACGAAGGCAAGACTTGCACATGGGAGGCTGACCCTTTGCCCATGGTGGGAGAGACCACAACCTATAGATTTAATGGGATAATAAACCTTGTGTCATAAAAAAAAGCATTTGCTTTTTGTTTGCTTTTAAGACTCGTGATTGCAGTGAACACTGGTTATATGGTATAGTGCTGCATGTAATCTAGGACCATAGCAATGTCCCTGCTACTAAGATATTTTATGTGTTTTATGCTATCGTGCCATGTGTCTTCCAGGTAATGATGAGAGAAGAGTTTCTTGGTATCCGCTACAAGTTCAATGCACCAGTCAGTAGACACACTGAGAGTGGATACATGTGGCAGCATTCCCAGTGGACTAAATGTTCTGCTATATGTGCTGGAGGTAAATCATGTATGTTCATATACTGTGGTGGATAAACAGGAGGTGGAGGAGCTGTAGGTGCCTGGAACTGACTTATAGTCTAACCCCCTGGTGCCCAGTCTGCTGGCCTTTGGCACAATTGTGTAACCATTGGGGCCCCTACAAATTCTAAACTTTGTTTCCCTTTTGCCCTGTTATAGTAGAGATATATAGCAGTCTCATGTACAATGTAATACATTTCCAGTCTACAACTATTTCCAGTCTCCAACAACTCCTATAGCATATTTCACAGCCTTTGACAGCCTCCTAATAAATATTGTTTAAGTGTTTATGTGTGCCCATTTGGTGATTTTGGGGCTGAAATTGACGCCCCCCAAATCAAGAACGTTGACCACCACTGGTCTAACCACACATTTTCACAGTTTATCTGGTTTCTGCTCATCAGGGGGATATTTCTTCACTTTTAGAGAAAAATCTTAGCCTGTTTAAGTAGCTGAATTATCAGGGTGATATGCCATATATAGTTCCCATTCTGTGCAGTTTTGCACTTCTGCACTTTGATGGTGGAATGTTTATGAAAGTGTGTGCACATTGTATACCTTCATTAATGTGTATTTTTTTTCCAAAAAATTGAGTTTGAAAAACTGCTGCACAAATACAGTGTGACATAAAAAAAAACACCCATAATTTTATTCTCTAGTGCCTTTGCTTAAAAAATATATAATGTTTGGGAGTTCTAAGTAATTTTCTCGCAAAAAAGATTCATTTTACACGTAGGAGAGAAGTGTTGGAATAGACTCAGGAAGCAAGTGGCTAAGGGGTTAGTTAATCTTTTCATAAAAAATGAATAAGTGAGCTAACACCCTCCCCACCCTCCTGGTCCCCACTGTTCTTATCTCTGTGGGTGCTGGACGATCAGTTCCCAGATAAAAGGGGGAGAAGATTGGGGGGACTGGTACCCCAGCTGCCTGGGCAATGACAGCTCATCACCCATGGAGGTAAGCACAGCAGGGACCGATGATGGGGAGAGTGAATAGTATTAGTTCACCTTATCATTTTTTTCTGAAAATGTGAACTTACACTTTAAAAAAATGCTCATAAAGACCAAAGGTCCAAGTATATGTAAATCCATTTTTTATTTTGCTTTAGATAGGGTGAGGTAATATCTAAACCCCTTGCCAGGTTTTTTCATTGCTGTCCATGTTTTCATCGGGGAGATTCACCCTTTTTTGGGGACAACTGTTTGCAGTACAGAAAGTGATAAAAAATTCATAATTTTAAAGTTGTCACAGGAACAGAAGGTGAGGGGAAATCTTTCAAAGGATGGTGTTTGTTCTGGTGACAACTGTCTAATATGGGAGTTCTTCTCTGGAATGATTTCCTGTAGTGTCTCTGGGAAAGGAAGTGAAGGACCATCTTCCCTACTAGACACAGCAAAAAAACAAAAATCAAAAAAAATAGTTGGGGTCTTAACCATTTACCCACTCCAATACAAAAAAAAAATGTTTTTGCATCCATTTTCTTTGTTCATATTTCTAATTTGCATGTCATACAGGGGTACAAATGCAGTATGTTGTCTGCAAGAAGATAGCAGATGGATCTCCTGCCTCTGAAGACATGTGTGATACACAGCAGAGGATGCAAGAGAAGCAACGTCAATGTAACACTGAGCCCTGTCCCCCTGAGTAAGTACAGTAACAGCATATATTATAGGAGTTTATAATACATTTTCAGAATATCCACACTATAAATCCTGTAATATTTAGGGTTAGGATAGCAATAAACATCCACATGTGGTAAGCCAACAATATACGACCATGAACAGATATTTCTTCGTAAGTCCCTCTACTATTGAAAACTAACTACACTGGGTATGTTCTTCCACATGGTCTGGACAAGCCCTGAGCTTCGGCTCTTCTGGACCTCTGTCCTAGATGCTATTAATGATACGTACGATCTTGCTTTGAGTCTGGAACCCAATGTGCTGCTGCTGGGAGTGCTAGATGGTGCAGAACTGGTTTGGTATGAGAGAGATCCTGCTCAATTGGACGTCTCCCCTACACCCTACTGTATTCTCCTAGCATCCAGTTATAAATGCAGTGTTGCCATTATATAAGTTGACCTATGAAAGTCATAACTGTCCTAGGAAATTCGAACAAAATTCAGCCTGGATAGGCAAAGGTGACTCTGCACCTGTTTGAAATGCTAATGGTCATATGTTAACTTTTTGGCCATTTTTTTCTCCCTGTCCTGTCTGTTCCTTTTTTACACACCATATTTACAAAAAATGTTCGCCTGGAGTACTGCTTTAAGGAAGATCAATTTGTGGTTTAGGTGTAAGATTAGAGAAGATGTGTTCACAATTTGTGAGAGAATGTATTGGCAGCGAGATATAAAATAGCTTAGTGACAGGTGAGATTTAATTATGTGGATGACGTCTGTTAATTTTAATGTAATTATTGCTTAAAATAAGGTACATATTGGTGCAAAGATATGTGTGTTCCTCTACCTCCCCTCATCATGTACAGAATGTATAGTGGGCTTTTTTTAATGAATCTTGCCTTATTATAATATATATAGATTGTAAGTTCCAAGGAGCAGGGCCCTCCTATCCCTCTTGTATTGAACTGTATTATTGCTGTATTGTCTCCAGTCATATTGTAAAGCACTGAGCAAACTGTTGGCACTATATAAATCCTGTATAATATATATATATATATATATATATATATTCATTATACATGTCTAGTCAATATGATTTCTTCATTAGGTGGGCGATAGGTCCTTGGTCTGAGTGCAGCCGGAGCTGTAATTCTGGTGTTCGTACCCGTAGTGTGATCTGCCAGCGCCGGGTATCAACAGGAGAAGAAAGATCTCTAGATGATAGCAACTGCACACCACCTCGCCCCACAATGCTAGAGCCCTGCAACACCAACTCATGTCCACCAGAGTGGGTGGCATTGGACTGGTCCGAGGTAATGGCAAGATTTAGCGTGAACTTCACAAACCTTGTCTTTCTAATGATTTAATGCACAGGTGGATCCGCATTTCACAGTTCTTTTTTTGTTAGAATGACTGCTCAGTGCATATGTATTGGTGTTTACTATTACTAAAGGGTACTGGGAGTTATTATAATATAAAGGAAAAAGAAACGTGAGTTAGCAGGTTTCATGTGTAATTTTTTCTAGTGTGGGCTATAAGGTAAAACAAACATGCAGATGGCTACTTTGAGAAGAACCTCTTTTTTAATTTTCTGCAGTATTTTATAGATGAGGAACATTAAAGAAGGCAAGGTAGAATATAGGAGATGGTGGAGAGAGATTTAGAGTTAGAAGCTAGTCTATTCAAACCGCAAAGTATGATCTTCTAAAAACTGACCTGATATTTGTTTAATAATTAGGCCATGTCTTTATCAGTGATTTATCATTTAAAGTGTTTCAAGGGTTGGATACACCAAATAATTCTTCTACATTTGGTAAACGAGCCAGCATACCCCAAGATTTAAATTATTTGGGATAAACATTGCATTTATCATGTAGAAGTTCTTTCATCATGTGATCGTGGTCAACACTCATTAACCATTCTTTATATCCTCCCTTTTTTGTAAAGAATACTGCATAGTTCTATTTATTGTAAGATTTAAAAGAAGACCCTGATCAAAATAAACTGCAATCTCATATATATTTGAATATACAATATAATACAGTGTATGTGTATATATATATATATATATATATGTGTGTGTGTATATGTATATATATATATATATATATATATATATATATGTATATATATATATATATATATATATATACTGTATGTGTTTAAAAAATGTATCCCAAGTCTGGGAAGAGTCAAATTTATATTTTCAGTTAGGCTGTATAGAACACGTATGTCTGTACTTCTGCCCCACTGCTTAGTGAGAGCTGCAGCATGCTGTAGTGTTGTTTATCTGCCCCTCTTGTCCTCCTGTTCTGTGTCTTTGTGTAGATGTTGTCATCTTGGTTGCTTCCTCATGTCAGAGCTGCCCTTTGATGATTGGTGATCTGGTAACTGGTGAGATGTACCCAAAAACAGGAGGAGAGATGTAGAAATTATGGATTCACAGAATGAATGAAGCAGGGAGATCCTTGCAGTGCAGGTCCTCAGGTACAGCTTTCACTCCAGCAAGGCGAACTGTGAGCAGAACAGTAGTGACAATAACTAATCTCACTCCAAATATCGTGATACTAAAAGCCAGAGCCAGCAGTACCTTATATGATCTCCTACTGCAGCTATACAATTTTGGGGCTCAAGGCATAGAAAATGCACTTATATTTTTCAGGAGGAATTCAAGACAGAAAAATATATTTTTCAAAGTACAATGTAGGTACAGTTAACTTTTGTACAGTAAAAGATAGCAAATCTTTACTTTTTCAGTCCAGGTCCATTGTGAATGGTAATGTTCAGTTTTTGAATAATTGTACTTCCTTTCTTACAAACATAACTTGAACAAATTTTGTTTTTCCTTTCTTTCAGTGCAGTCCAAGCTGTGGGCCAGGATACAGACATAGAGTTGTGCTTTGCAAATCTGGTGATGGTGATAATACTTTACCCCCTTCCCAATGCCCAACTAAGGACAAGCCTGCAACTAGTGTAAGATGTACCCTACAGAGATGCCCCCCACCACGCTGGGTAACTGGCGACTGGTCTGAGGTAAAGATCGGTAGCATACAGAAAAAAGAATTGCAGTAAACATAAGATGCCGATGAAAATTAATTGTCCTTTTTTTACATTCTTAGTGCTCAGCCCAGTGTGGACATGGGCAGCAGAGACGTTCTGTGCAGTGTGTGAGCCACAGAGGACAACCATCAGTAGAATGCATAGAGTCTCTGCGCCCCCCTGCCATGCAGCAGTGTGAAAATAAATGTGAGGCAGGACCTTCTGACAGCCCTGATGGTAAGAGTATCGAAAGCTGTCTGAAACAAACAAGCAATTCTATTTGTGGAATATTCTTCTTCTTGTGGCTGTTATGTTGCACCATCTTGTTCCATTTATGTACAAAACTCTCAGTTCCTATTTCCCTTTTTCTGTGCCTCAGGCTCTCATCCCTCCCACAGCATGACACTTTGGTCCCCTGCCTCCCATACAGCGATTCAGAGCCTCCTTCATACACGCAGAGTCCCTTTTCTCCGGTACTTCCTGCCTCTAACACTTTTTCCTGTCTTTTCTACAGAATGTAAGGATGTCAACAAAGTGGCATACTGCCCCCTGGTGCTCAAGTTTAAGTTCTGCAGCAGACCCTACTTCAGACAGATGTGTTGCCGCACTTGTCAAGGCCACTGATTCTAATCAGCAGCAATCTATTATCTCACTTTTTTTTTCTGCCATTGTTTCTTCCGCTTTTCTTTTCCGTACTGAAAGCGATTTTTTTTTCATTCTTTCTTTTCCATGCTGTCAAGTTCATCAATAGTTTCTGAACTGTTAATGTTCTTTAACCAAAATGTCCCCTGCTATTTCTAACATCTTTTGTTCACCGCTTACTTCCTCTTTTTCTTCCTGTTTGCATCACCCACCATCCTTTTCAGACTGCTTTGAAGCTCCCTTCCCTTTATCCATACTCAACCAACGTTACTTTTTTTTTTATCAACGGACTTTTGTGATAAAGAATGATTATTTAGCCAAATATATACATCACCGTTAACACCTCACTCTCTACAAACTTCAGTGCTGTCAAGAGCAGGAGCTGCATACTTACACACTCGAAAAATATGCTGTTATGAAACTGACTGTTGACTGGGATCTATATACTTACGTACACAGTCAAAAAGGAAAACGTCTACTAGCAAAAAATTCTATGAAAGACTTGACATTGAAGAGTATATATGGACTGTTCATAAAAGATCTGTTATTAGACCTGAGAGTGATGTAAACGGAATGCTTGGAAATTTGTAATTGTTCTAAAAGCAAGGATGGAGCAAAGCATTTTTTTTGGCCTTGAAACCAAAATTCAGTAAGAGGAGAAGCCATGGCAGAGGATGAGTGTGTATCTAATTAGCCCTGTAGTCCTATTGAGGCAACATTAACAGTCCACACTTTGCTAAGGGCATAATCTGCTATTGCCCTGTGCTACAGACTGTAAGTCATATAAAGTATGTGTATACTGTTTGTATTACGCAGACGGAGATTGCAGAGACATATGCATGATCGCCCTTTCAGTTATGCAGTTCCAGGGCATTATCTCTGACAAAGAGTATCAATGGCCTACAGAAAGGATGCTAATTTTTATGCTTGAGGAATGAAGTGTGACTGTAATAAAATAAGGGGCAGCCTGTCACTCCCCCCCCCCCCAACTTCCCCCAAAACCTTTTATGTCAAGGCTGTTGTTACAGATCACACCATCGTTTGTACTCACTGCATTATTGGTGCTGTCTAAATAGATTTCCATGAGACAAGCTTGTGGCATAGAACCTCCTTATTACGTCATGGCTTTGAGCTGCTATGGATTTAGTTAAGAGTTAGTCTAACCAAAGCATATATTTTATTTCATGGTGGATGCCAGGGAGTTGAGATGCCCATTGACTCTTTTTATGCATTAGGATCTCCAGTGGTGTGTTATCCATACTGTAGTTGCTGTCAACAATTCCCCTTGTCATGGAAAACTAATCATCCAGGAGATGTGCCAGTCCTCCTGCTTTATTCTGTATAGTAATAAAAAAATTCAAGCATGGGGAATGGGACCCATTTGCAAATACTACTGGACTCTCTAAATGGTAAACCTGGTAGGTGATTCAACCAATAAGGGGGGAGACATTTTTATCACCATCTAGAAGCTTTCAAGGAGTTACGTTGGTCAGCAAAATGGTCACGTCCACCCATAACACACGTATAGAAAAATAAAATGTTAGGACTAGCAAAGTTTTGACTTGGGTCAGTTCACTCAGTAATAATATTTTATTCGTAGGTGAAGTCATGTGAGTCACCTCCTGGCTTCTTATGGATATTTGAGACCCAGCTATATTCTCACTCACCTTGAAGTGTTACTCCTTGTAACTCGCACAACAGATGGTCTAATTTGATCATTAAAAATAGAACTTTGGGTAAAATAAAAAGTACACTATAAATGTTCTCACATCTCACAAAATCCCTGAAATAAATAAGAAATCATTAGGTGAGTTCATTTTCAAGCATCTACCAAGCACCTGTGGCGAAGGGCCTTTGTTCGCTTCCGGCGAGTTTTGCATTATTATATAGGTTTATGGGAATGCAAACCCCACTTGAAGCAAATGCAGGACAGAAGAAAGTCCACTGCAGGTCAAATGCACTTTTTCAATGAATTCTGAATGATCTCAGAAGTATCTCAAACTGATGTCATTGACACAAGCCCAAAGCCTGTGGACACAGGTCTGAATACCATTTTTGATTGGACTGGCCCTTTTTTAATTAGTGGAATCATATATGACATGTGCAGTGCTAAAAGAATCTTAGAAAGTTTAGTAATAAAATCCTCATTCTCTAGGATGCTTTCATCAGTTTAGAAATCCCAGGGAGAGAGTTTACCTCCATATGAAGTCAGTGGAGCAATTTACCTGCATCCTGCACAGAATTTAAGTGGGACAGAGCAATAAAATGTGTTTATTGGTGCTGCTTTGTTCTGCTTAAAATATGCAGGTTGTTTCTGTTTACTTGGAATTCAGCAATTTAAGCGTTTTTGGTATATTATTACAAATGCTTTTTTTTTTTCTAGTGGTTGAACGTGTAATTCTAAGATGCAAATGTACTGTATCCCATAGCAACTAATGAAATATGAAATGAATTGTTTCTACAGATTAGCCTGAAATAAGCTACTATCTGACTGGTTGCTATAGACTGCATTGTTTTGTGCTTTTTGCACCATGTTATTACTTGTGCATAGTTATATTCAGTGCAGGGTGGATAAGTTTACTTTGAATATATCATGATTGTTAAATACCCATCCAACGAAGTGATATGGGTCCATTACCAGTGTCATTTAAATTCTTTTTGTAGGTATTTTATAAGAGATCCAAAGATTTTATAAGTGTTATATGAGCTACTACAAATAGCAGTGTGCTAAATCTATTTCACACATTACGGTTACAGCTTTAGCCTTTTATATATACATACAGTACAAAGATATCCCTTTAAAAATAACCTAAGAGGTTTTGCTATTTACAGCAGCAGACTAAACTAGGAAAAACCCGGTCAGTAGTTCAGGGCTCAGGGCTGTGTGTAGGCGCAGAAGTTTCCCATTTAAAAGTATATACTACGTATCTCCTTTGGAAGCAGACATATTGCTTTCCCTTTTCGCATTCAGAAGTATATATTCATTTCAGCCAAGATAAAATGAGATCTGACTGTATAGCCTAAATGTATAGTTTCTTTAAAATTGAGAATATATTTCAGTATAGTCTAATGAACAAGCACATCCTGGATTATATCTACATACTACATGATTATTTAAAAGTAAAGGGGGGGGGGGGTTCATGGACCTGTATGGCTGGTGAAACTTAAAATGAACAACAATTATTTATTGCAGAATTAAGCCTTTTTATCTTTTGCAACCAAGAAAGCTGCCATCTGCAGTTGCCACGGTGCTGCACACCAGCCATGACACCAGCCATTTGATGGCTTGACAGTTCCATTGAGAGTACAAGCAACCATGACATTTCAGCTGTCCATAGATTAATTGAATTTTGATCCATTTATGGTCATTACTGTTTGACAGAAGTTGACTTAAAGATCAGCTTCTGTTAAATGGGACTGTTGGAAAACTTTCATTCATTCAGAGTCTACAGCCAATTGGCTGCAGTGCTGATCAGTGTATTCTGACAGTGGAGGATTCCCCACTATCCAACACACACAGCTAGGGGAGGAGGGATTCCTCCAGCCACCTTGCTTGTGAGGATGGGGGGATCCATTTTTTTTTAATCAGCCCTCTGGTTGATTAAACAAAAATCATCTATGGCTATCCTTAATGTGCACATTTGAAACTGCAATTCTGTGTTACACTCATAAAGAAAGTCAAAGTTTGCATTATTGCATAAACTCCTATTGCATGTGTTTATGCCAGGAAGTGGCACATGATACTGCTCTTATTGCCTGTTTATCCAAGCACCAATAGCCTATTGACCAAAAATCCCCTCATTATATGATACGCTTTCCCTGGGCAGAGGTTCCTAAGGTCTGCTACATTTCCTAGTTTGTTAGTTGTCCAAGCACTTTTTCTCTCAGATGTAATGAGAATTCTGATATTTGCCAATTCAAGTTTAAAAGGTAAACTCAGCTTTAAATTCAGTCTTGCACAGTTGTACAGGCTCCTCTCAGGTACTGAATTGCTTACTCTTATTTCATTGCACACTGCGAGCTTCTAGCAGTGTGCATTTGAAGTTGCAGCAAGTCAGATAGAGTCTGCCTTATTTCTTGGCTGGAGGATGTCCCGTATCTTCTTGTTCTTTCCCCCTCAGCCTTACTATCCCTGCCATGCACTTCAATGTATTGGATTTCAGTTCTTTCAATCATAGAGGCTCAGCATCAACTATGGGCATTACCAAGGGCAGTCTACATGTAAATGAAGTGTGCCTAGGAACGCTTACACTTCTAGACTGACACCCGCCAGAAGGCACTTTGATATTTGCATAGGGCCCCTTTCACAGGGCACGTTCGATCAGGTCCACACGTTCTTGAAGCAGACCTGATCGGATGGTCCATTTACTCCTATGAACAGGTGGGTGTAAATGGACTTATGTGCGTTTACATCCACCTACCTCCAGGTTTGATCTGATCGACTTAAAAAAATGGGGATTCGTCCTCTTAC